GCATTATGTAAAGGTACAATTCCCAATGAGAAATGTAATTGTGTTGTATACCTACAATGTACCAATAAAAGAATTTAACAACAACAAAAAAATAAAGTTAGGATGAGTTTTCTAATATTGCCTCTTATACCAAAAGTGTCAATTAATTGACTTTGTAGTGTTTTCTCCATTGCATAAGCTATATTTTCATTCACATCCATTTCCCCCTAATATGTATGTGTGCATGGTTTTGATCACAAGACAAAATGAATTAAAAGTAAAATATGATGAAAAGTAAAAGCAAAGAATGAAAGAAATTCTGGGAAACACATTACAAAAAATCAATTAAAAATTCAGAATATACTTTTTGGGTAATTAAAAATTTTTCTTTTTTGATTCACTATACAAGGATGCAGTTTTCCTTAAACCAAATTCTAGCACAAAGCTGGGGTGTACAATTTTAGTTCTAATATGAGAATTCTAGTGGGGAAGGGAACTTCAAAATTATTTAATATAACCATGCCATTTATGAATGGAGAAATCAAGGCCTAGAAAAGTCAAATAACTGTCCCCAAACTGAGGGAGTATCAAAAATTCCTATTAAGTATCTGGTTCCCGGTGAGTTAGACACTCTGCTCTGTTGGTTACATCAGTCTTATAAAATGGAATTGTGGATTCTTCTAGAACATTTAGCACTTACTTTCTAATTAACTGAAAAAACCAAGGGGATGATAATGGAGTTATTTTTAGGGATTGTTGTGGCACCAATCACTGGAGGAAAAAGAATATTTTACCTGCAATAAGCTTCAATTCTGTACAACTCATTTAAAGCAAGAAAAGCACATATTTTTCTTCTAGAAAATATAGGTGGACATAACAGGTTATAAAAACTATACTTTAACCAATACATAACATTTAATTTCCCCCCACATAATTTCTCACACTCTCATTTTAAAACATTTTATTAAGGAACATGAACAAGATTAAAAGCTTAGGGATATTATTTAAGAATTGGTGCTTCTTCCAATTTCCTGGCAGAATGTTTCCAGTACTTCTATGTATCTTCAGTATTACCTATCTTTAACTTGCTTTTAATCTTCCAGTATCTTGGTACAACTTTTCAACATAAACTTTAATAAAACTCCTTGGGTTTTCCTTGAGATTTACTTGATCTTTCTTTTGTATGTCTTTTTTGGTTAAGGAATTTATATTCCTCTGCCATGCTTACAAGTTCTTCTGGGATACTCTGATTGGTTCTCTTCAGAATGTTAATCAGTTCATTGGCAATCTTCGAATCATTTTTAATAATGAGATTTATCGATGTGCCACTCTTCCCTGCTCTTCCAGTACGTCCTACTCTGTGTATGTATTCTTCAATGTTCCGTGGGAAATCATAATTATAAACATGTGTGACATCATCAACATTGAGACCTCAGGATGCTAAATCAGTTGCAATCATAATTTTCACATCTCCAGTTTTAAATTCTTCTAATGCCTGTTCCTGTTCTTCCTGCTCTCTATCACCATGCAATAATTGTACTGGTATGCCCTGGATGCCTAAATCACTTGTTATGTCGTCACCAAGTTTTCTGCTAAGAAACACGATGGCTTTGTCTTCAGGTGCCATGTTATTTAAGAATTCTTGAATATGAGCTCGTTTTTTGTCTTCTGTGGTAATGATTATATTTTGCTTCACTGTATTTCCAGCAACTAGATCCAGAGTACCAAAATAAACGATCACAGGTTCTTTCAAATAAGATTGGGAAAGTTGACAGACAGCATCTGGTCAAGTCACACTTGTCATGACAGTTTGATGGTCTGGACATATATCTGATAGGATTTTCTTTATCTGGGGTTTGAACCCCAGATCCAACATTCTGTCTGCATCATCTATGACTACGAAGGTTATGTTTCTTAGGCTGACAAAGTTATTCATTTGCAGATCATTTAGTCTTCCAGGAGTGGCAATAATGATATCTACACCTTTGGTCACATCTTGTATTTGTTCCTGTCTATTTCTACCACCATATACACAAACACTTCTAAGATCTTTATATGAGTACTTAGAACATTCACTTTTCACCTGAAGAGCTAATTCGCTAGTTGGAGTAAAGATTAGCATGCCAGGTCCATTCCTTTCCTCTCTAGTTATTGGTTGAGAAACGAGGTGAGTAAAACCAGGCATTAAATAGGACAATGTCTTGCCTGTTCCAGTTTGCACAACTCCTATAAGATCTATTCCTTGTAGAATAATTGGCCATGCTTGTGACTGAATTGGTGTTGGCTTTTGGAGACCTGCCTTGGTTAAATTTTCTATCAGTTCAGAATACTCCTCCTGGAAGACATCCTCAAATTTACAAGTTGGATTAGGGATTGGACGTTTGTCACCTTTTCTCAGATCATCACAGATTACATTGAAATTTTCCTTTCTCCACTTTTCTACTTCATCTGCAGACATTAAGCTTGTATCTTTGGATTCTATGTAAAGATTTTTCTTAATTGGAAGTAAATCTTCCCATATTCTTTGTTCCCACTCCATAGTCGCTGCCTGGATCTGATCCCAGTCTATCAGTGGCTGAACTCTTTTAACAGTATTACTTGTGCTGAAATTTGTTCCAGCCTAGGACTGAGATGCAGCATTATCTACAGGGCTTTGAGATGCAGCACTATCAGCAGAGGATTGGGATGTGGCATTATCAACATTGGATTCTGACTTGGACTTTGCTTGTTTTTTAACAAGAGCTTCTGGGGCTGCTTTGGCCTTTGTTTCCATCTCATCGGTACCAAAAATTTTTACTTCTGCTTCAGAATCCCCAGTTATGATTTGTATCTTAGTGTTTTTGTCAAACACTGAAGATCTTTTATTTTTGAACCACCACGGCCAATTACAGCACCGATCATAGTAGTCTTCAAGCTAAAGCAGAGTGGTAGTCCGCGGGAGTCTACTGTGCTAGGCCCCAGATATTGCTACCTCTGCCCCGGCCTTGGTCCCGGCCCCGGTCCCGGCCCCGGCCTCGGCCTCTGCTACCGCCATCCCCTTCTTCCTCTAAACTCACTTTGTCTCTTGGATTAGTCTCCGACCTCGTCTTCTCTGGGGCCCCTGACACTGCCCAGTAGTAGCAATGTTGGCACGGCACTCTTGCCTACATATGGTTGTGAGGATGATACATCTGCGGCCTCTTTCCTTAGGCGCTAAACCAATTGACTGCAAGGCCAGTTGTTTGTACCTTTACCTAAGGAAAGAGTGACATAAGGAGGGGCTTTGAAGGCTTGACCAATCACAGCACTGAGCCTAGTGTGACTTAAGCAGGTATTTGTGACACGAAATTTGAAGAAATACTCACTCTCAGGGACTAACCCTGCCTACATTTGGATAAACTTGAGTGATTACTTCATTTAAAAACATTTTTAAAATTTATTTTTAACTGATACGTAAGAATCGTGCATATTTATGGGGTACTATATGATTGTTTTAAGAAAATGATTTTTATGTTTTAAATATGATAAAATGTTTAACTTCATATTTTAAAGTTGGTAAAATCTGAGATTTATGTAACATTTTGTATCCAGTATTTTTAGGCAACAAAATCATCAGTATGGTCAAATGTTAACTCATTTCACTTTTATATTAATAACAAATTTATTTATGCAGTAGTCCTGAATAGGCATAAAAACTTCTTGGAATATTTTGTTTTTAAAAGACAATTCTATTTAATAAACTATATCATAACCCCAAAAGTATGCTGGAAAAATATAAAAGGTTAGAGGGAAAAAGAACTTCAGTTTAGCCCCACTTTTTGGTATGTCCTGAGTCACCATTCTTTCCTGTTTCTAAGATTATGATTTTTATTGTAATTGGGTTAGTTTTAAGATGGCAATATATTAACAAATTATTATTGATATAGGCTTTTCAATTTTCCAAAATTATGGATTGTAAGTGAAATGAAGCAACATTTCCAGTTAACGAATGGATCTATGGGTTATGAAATATCTCTTAAATAACACTTGTCACAATTAAACCAACAAATGGTGGCAATGAGAAAACTATTGATAAAAAACAACCAAGGGATGTTCAATTCAATATATACAGGAATCCATACTTTGAGTAAAAGAATGAATACCTGAAGCAGTACAAATGGTAACCAGGTACCAAAAAAACAGACAATGAGGTTGGGCAAGAGTATTCTTTTAGAGTTTACAATGTGTAACTAGAGAGGGATGAAGAAGGAAAATATAAGATAGTGTCATTCATATAGGAAGTTATTTGAATAGCCTGTACCAAGGTAATAACTTATAACCAAGAGCTTATAAAAGCCATAAATAAAATTATCATCATGGAAAGTGACAGGCAGTAACTCTGAATACTGACAGAGACAGGACATTGGTAAGAATAAATATTCTGTGCCTTCAGGTTTTGGTGGATGGCTGGTTCTCCCAAAACATAAGCAAGGACTGAAATCCAAATCAAAATTACTGCAAAGAAATAAAATGACTTCTGACATTTAGATGAAAGTTTGGTGAGTTCAGAGAAATTCAGGCAATAACCTATAAAAGATATTAGGAAGACTGGATAATGCAAAAAGCCATAAGTAAAGGAAATAATTTGAGCAAAGAGGCAGATATGGTATCTAGTAAACCTAATACCTAAAAGTACAAAATCCCTGAAATAGGATATAATTGAAATATTTACCAAAAATAAAAAATCAACAAATGCTAATGAAACACAAAAACATTCCATAAAATTTTGATAGCTGTTTTTTCTTCTTATTCCTAGTGTGAGAATATTTAACAATATTTTCCCAAGTACGATCAAGAACAACAGACAAGTAGCATCTAGATACTGATTTGTTTGATGTAACTGGTACTGTAAAGAGCAGTTGTCTGAAGAAAAAGGTGACATATTTTTAGTTAAATTTCAAGAAGACCTGCTGAAAAATACGTGATAAAACACTGCTTCACTTTCTTTTCCATTCACATCCTGTAGTTTAACTTGACCTTATCTGAAAAAGTTCCATTGCAAGTTCATGGTACAAGGACACAAAAGCATAGCTACCAATCTGAAGACTGCCAAGTGGTGTTGCTTAGAGAAGGAGACCTGGATGGAGTGACCAGACGAGTCTCTCCAGAGTCCTCCTAACCAATGATCCTCCTATTTTATTTTGATTTTGCTGCCTTCAATTATGTCACTGTTGGTTCCTTGCATTCATTTTGCTATGCCAGAATGCTATGTAAGCTGTCCTTTGCAGATGTGGCTTATCTCTGGAAGCTGAGTTGCTAGCGCTCCTTGCTGCGCTCCGGGCTGCACCTTCCTCCAGAGTCCCCCAGCTCAACCACCAGGCCAGGCTCCACCCAGCCCACAGCAAGATCACCACTACCATGTGATATTTTGATGCACACCCTATATAATGTTCAAATTGGCATCAATGTATCTCTCTTCAAACGAATTTTTTTTAATGATTGAAAACATTCAAAATATTTTCTTGTAGTTTTTGAAATATATAACGCATAATTTTCACCTGTAGTCACCCTAGTGATTACTAGAACACCAGAATTTCTTACTCTTTTCTTTAAATTAGTACTTTCTGGTCAATCTCTGTACAACCCTCCCTCCCCACTACTCCTTGCAGCCTCTGGTAATTGATATCCTCCTCTCAACCTCTAAACCATTTTTAGATTCCACATGAGTGAAATCATGTAATATTCGTCTTTTCTGTACTTTATTTCAGTTAACTGTCTTATTTCCATTTCTGTCCATGTTGTTGTGAATGACAGAATTTTATTCTTTGATGGTTGAAGTGTATTCCATTATGTATATGTACAACACTTTCTTTATGTGTTCATCAGTTGATGGATGCTTTGTTCCTTAACTTTTGTTTCCTGAATGCTTTGCTTACCTTCCTCCAGGTGGTTGTGGCTCAGCTTGGACAGAACATTGAAGCAGATCTTGAACTTATACACACTGCTCTTTCTATAAGTCAATTATTTCCATAGGAGAAAAAATAATAGATTTTTTAAAAAGCGACTTGTTTGTATATTTATGAGTTTATTTTGGTAAGCTTCTTTTACAGTAGCAACATGATCTAGATAAATTTATCACTTCCCCGTCCTCTAGTATAACTTCAATTACACCATGAGCATTCTCTTGGGTGCACACTTAAGGACAGCATTTTGCCTCTGATTCGTTAGCTAAATTTCAGTACTTCTTCAGGGAGTTTCCAGATATTCACAGGAATGATCGTTAGAAGACAGAGTGGGACCTGTTACCTTGAAAGGTGTTTGTAATGGTTTTCCACTTTTCCCAGTGCCTTTCAATTTTTTCCATTTCTGAGGTTTCATAGATTCCAAGATCTTACTACGAGGAGGCTATGTAGAAGTCATTTATTAGGTGCCATATAGAAGGCAACCTGAAAGGAATCTGGAAAGGTGGACATCCAGCTTCTATTTAAACAGTTCCAGAGGCAGGGAGCTTAATTCATTTCAGCAATGTCCATTCCATTATTCTGTTATGAGGCAGTTAAATGGTTACAAAAGTGGTTGCCTTTTTTTCCCTTAGGTCCTTATTCTGACTTCTGAAGGTATAAAAACTAGATTCCATTCTCTTATATCTGTGTGTATTTAAGGGCCACTGTCAAACTAAAGGGTTTCCATTTTTCAGGGTAATGTTCCCAGTTTTTTTTCAAGATTTCTTGCTATGACCTATTTTCTAAGATGCACATAATCTCCTTTCTCCTTTGGAAATGGACCTTGTTATTACCATTAAGGCCTCTTCCCTGAGCACGACAGTTATACTAATTCAACCAAAGAATTCCTAAGACACAAAGATGCTTGCAATAATATGATGGACATTTATATTCACTCTTTTCCACCCTACACTTACTTGATTGATTTTGTTTTCTTTCTTTGTTTAACTAAAAGTACACTATAAATTTATTTACATGTATCCCATTAATTTTGGTCATTTGATGTAGCCTATTAAGTGTAATCTAATGGTAATTCTCTCAGCCCTCATATTGTCTAGTTTCAAGCCTTCTGATAACTTAATATTCATGGCATTTTCTCTCTTCAGCCAAAGTTGTTGATTAAAAATTGAACATATTTCATTCTAGATGTCTGTGACATATTGGGAGAAATCCTCTCTATGTCAGCACTTTTCTTGAATGATACTTTTTTTTAAGAAAATAAAAGAGGTTGCTGGCCAAATAATGTTTGGGAAATATAGCATCCTATATCCTCTCTGTTAGATGCTCATTAGGTATCCCAGAAACTCAGATAATTAGAAGCAATGAAAAAATCATTTGTTTAACCTAAAGTTTCCCAGAGGAATTTTCCAATGGAACTTTTCATAAATATTTTAAGTAGACCTTTTATTTGGAATAATTTTAGATTTACAGTTACACAGATAGTGCAGGGAGAGTTCCTATATACCCTTCAACCAGTTTCAGTCTCCCCTCATCTTATCATTTCACATTACCATGATAGATTTGTCAAATACAGGAATTCAATATCAGTGTGTTGCTGTTAACTAAACTCCAGACTTTATATCACCTGTTTTCCATTAATGCATTGTTTTTCTGCTTCAGAATCTAGTCCAGGACTCACACTGCATTTAGTTGTCAAGCATGGTTTGTGAGAGTTTCTCAATTTTTCTTGGTTTTCATTACTTTGCCAATTTTGAGGAATAATTATCAGTCATTTTGTAGAATGTCCTTCAAATTGGGTATGCCTGATTTAATTTCTCATGATTAGGCTAGGATTATAGAATTTTGGAAAAAAATCACAGAGGTCATATAACCTTCTCATCCTATCCTATTAGGGAAATGGTTACCTAATATCAACATTATTCATCATTATTAACTTCTATCACTTGGTTAAATGTTGTTATCCAGATTTTCTCCACTATAAAATTATTATTTCTTCCATTCAATGTTTTTATTTTTTGGAAGTGAATTACTAAATCCAAAAAACTCTTATGGGACCACTTCCTACCTAAATACAATTATTTACATTTTATACAGCTAATACTATTCTTTATAATACAGTTTGGGAAATCCTGCTCTGGATAAACATAGATTATTTAACCAATCTTTTTCATTTTGTTGCTCAATCAAATGTATTCTGACCAAATCACATTGCAATTCATCCACAATTTTCAGTGAATGATACTAGGAGTTTTGATGAATTTCCACTATCTTCTAGTTCATTAGAGGTTAAGAAAA